CGCGAAAAAGGTGTCCGTAACTATCCAAGCTGGCTGCTTATAAGATCTTGCCCAGTCTCCTATGCAGCCGTTCTTTGTGTCGTCACGCAACGCTCCTTCGCTACAAGCAGAAGGATAGGGGAGGAGGAGGGAGGAGCGTGACGAACAAAGAACGGATGCATAGGAGACTAGAGCTTGCCCAGGTAGAAATAAATACTCAGGAATGGGGAAAACTGCTTGTTAGTGTTTGGCTATACTGTTGATCCGACGATATTGTATTTCAGCAGAAACCCATAAGGGGTTGACCCCTTATGAGTTTCTGATTTCAGTCACAAGCAAAAAACTCAGGTGGTGCTTTGAAGTAACCAGATGTGTATGTGAAAAAAGAAAACAAAACAAAACAAAGACAAACAAACACTGAAAGAGATTTAAATGATCTATAAAAAAACGATATTCAGAGGCAAATGTGATTTCATTTCGGATTTCCGCGTACGGGGGCATCAAAACCAAGCTGAATCTAACTTGTAAATCCTGAAAGTGCCCGCAGCCGCTTACGGGAATGTAAAAATACGGAGTTTGAATGGGAGTTTCAGGGTTTTGTGAAAGCGGCCGTTAGCAGAGCTGTCTGCTAACAAGTATGCCCGACTGTAGACACGCATATTCCAAATACGGTGAGCGCTAGCTGGTTATGAAGAATTTGCCGGGATAATGGAGCAATATTTTAAATGAATAATAAGTGTTAATTGTGTAGAAAGGAATTTCGTGTTTTTTGGTAGTTTACAGACCAATCTTTATACCTCATTTAGCAAGCAAGCCAGGACATACAGCGAGTGAGACCACAAGTGCAGCACGTATTCGCCGCATTCTCTCTCCACACTGTGGGGATTGGCTTTCTCAATATCAACCTGAAAAACCAAGATGGACGCTAAGAAACACTTCGAACATAAAGGATAAAAGGAAGATTTCAACATTTCTCTTGTAACATACTGTAATACAGCGAGCATGAGAAAACCACCGACATTAGGAAGCCTAAGAAACGACGACGGCTCAACGAGAACGGCAAAAAAGCAATAGGTAGAGCTTTGTTCGTGCATCATGCTTTTCTTTACCGTCGCTGCACGACTAAAACGTGAAAGTGCTCAATTTGCTCGTTTTGTGGAGGACAGGAACGCAAGACAACGACCACCTTTTTTCTTTTTCCTCCCTGAACTTTGATACAGTCTCAGAATTCTATTCCAGAAAAATTTTCCAACATTTGACGAATTGAACGAGATGGAATGGGCGCGATAAAACTTGAAGCAAGTGACGTTTTCGTAACCGTTGTTGTTGCTGAGCTCCCTATTTTGCGACGCCACCAAAGGTTTCCCCGTGAAATGACGTTTGAGGAACGGAACGAGCTGGTGATTGGTTGAAAGAGAATCACCAGTGTATTTTTTACGCAATTTTCTTTATTTGAAACACAACCAAATCACAATAGATTTTAATATTTTTGGAAAATATTGACCCATTAAAACTAAATGAAAATGACACAATTTAATACATTAAATCATTGGTAAATTGGTAAATAAATAGAAATAAATTTAAAAAAAACCTTGTTTCTTGGAACATAAAAGAATTCGGGAACCAGTGGAAGGCCAGCATCGTCTCTCACCAGCAGGGGATCCAGTAACTTTGTGTAAGTTTTCACCTGTTGCAATAAATATAAGCAAAGCAGTCTTTGATTGACAATCTTAAAGAGCCTAGTAAGCCTGCAAAAATTACCAAGAAAAATTATCATGGAAAGTGCTCCCTGACAAAATTTGCTTGATACCTTGTTCTTAACTCTATAAGAGCATTTTGTGTATGGGTACATGTTAAGGTACTATTTAAACTCATAACAAATAGATGAGCTTGGGAACTGGTGCCTTAAAGGTTAGCAGGGTGCCAGATGCCATAGCCGCAGGGAGGTATCCACGGCTACCCTGGAATGCGGGAAACCACCCAAACCAGCGCCTGCTAGCCGGCACCGTCACACTGAAAATTAATGGAAATACTTACCCTGGCAACCAAATGCAAAAAAGGGATGGGGGAGAGGGTGCAAGCACAGAATTGACCCCAAAACAGCAATATCCTGGTAACATAGCCCCTTTAAGTCCCACAAAGTGGTAACCCTCGGACGCACGAGGCGGGTGGGGGACGGGGGGGTGCCACCTCTCTCTGAGGTTTTTCTGAGTATTTCCATAGACAATAAAACATCAGCACCTGACGTTTTCAGTAGCTGTTCGTTTATCCGTCGCACGCATTTTGAGACAAGTTTAGTAATGGCGGCCAACATAGCAACCATCGTTGGTGACATCACAGGCCTCCAGCAGCGCCACCATCCATAAAAGAAGATCAAAGGCTTTCCACTGAAGGCAAAATCATTTCGAAATACTGCAACATATCAAAAACTCTAGGGAGGGGTTCCATCAACCCCCCTCCCCCGCTCCTTGTACCACGGTGGGGGTATAAATTTGCTTGTACGTCCAAAGGTTAAGAATTAATGAAAAAACAATCTCTCAACTAATTTTTTTTAAGGAAATGTATGGAGGTCAGTCTTAGACCAGCTGTTGAGGTGGATAACGTTATCCACTGATAGTGCCACTGGTTTCCTTAACACTTATCCGCTGGACAGTGATTTATCTGGTGGATAGCACTATCTGACGTTTGACCAACCACGCGCTGGTGAATTTGTGTGTGAATACAGTGGAACCTAGATACAACAGTGGGCAAAGAGACTGGCAAAATATGTTCACTATAACGAGGTTTCGTCATGTCGAGGTGCTTTGTCATATATTCAGCTATTACTGATATCGTTACATAGAGGTTCGTTTTATCGAAGTTATACTGTATTGGGGCGCTAAAGGGTTAAGCTATAAAAAAAAAAAAAAAATAAAGCACTTTATTTGAGTGTCAATGTATTTAGCACGAAAGTGCTAATTGGGGACACTATTTTTACGTCTCCTAATGGAGACGGGACCGCCATTTTACGTGGTCATCCGAGCCACGCGAAGGTCTCGCCGCTTGCAGTGCAAAGGAAGTACCTTCATTTCTCAGTCATTTTAAGACCCTGAGTAATGGTCCGGCCCCGGGAATCGAACCCGCGACCTCCCGCTCTGCAGTCAAACGCTCTACCGACTGAGCTAATCCTGCCACGGTTAACATTGCCTTATTAGTAGAAATCGGAGAAGGAATTTGATATAAGATAGAAAGACACTTGGATGCCTTGTTCCACCCACCTTCACGTATATTTAAGACATTTAAGCCTGCTACACTAGATACTATACTCTCTCAGAAGAAAATAAAAAGAAAAAAGGCAATTTCACAAAAAATCCCGGACAGGGTATTTTCTGTCTCTTTCTTAGAACCTATCGGGTCATAACCAATAATGTAGTGGTGAAATTTATGGTTTGTAGTTAATACTTTGGCTTTTAAATTGGCTAATGGTTAGTTTTATATCTGTTGAAGTCGACAGACGTCTGTAGAGAACAAAATCGAAGTTCAAGGATTTATTTCTATTTTTGCCAAATAAATCTATAAGATCTGCAACTTGAAAATACTAGCGAAGCCTGCTAAAATCCATTTTAACTACAGACAGTACAACACGAAACTACACAATTAATTAATATCTTGGAATGTTGGGCAGAGAGTAGAAGAATCTCTTGATCCTGGGATCTTGGACAATATGTTTGATCATCTATATTAAGCCATATTTGATTAAACTTGAACAAATGAAGTTACCACAAAACGGAACCCTCTAGAGACTCAAACTTTCAATATCTGTAAAGAGTGTCATATTTCATCTAATAGTCAAAGTTATTCAAGTTTCTCTATTAAAAACAGCTTTGTAAAAACAAAGAAAAGGAAATGACATCACTCACAAAAGTTAAAATCAATATCATAATGGTTTGTCTAATCACCGTAATTAACACTTTTTGCCTCAAACAAAGCCAGATGCCAAGGCTAATATTAAGTTTCTACTCAACAATTAATCTAAGTTAAAAAATATGGATATACGAATTTGAAAAATATCTTGCCCCTGCATAAAATCAACTTTGACTATGATGGATTAACTTTCACTTTAAACTAGAAAAAAGTAAAAAAAAAATTAATAATAATAACAATCATCTTTTAGAGAGAAAAGCATCAATTACAAAAATTAATAATGATCAGGTTCATAGGAGGTATTGAAACTTCTAAGAGCAAAATATAGATATATTTGACACACAGTAGTAGCTACAAGGGAAAGTTACGTTTCACATCTGCTGCAGATTAAAAATCACAGCCACTTTTATTCACCAATACATCTTTTCATTGTTCAGGCACATTAAACAAGCTTTCTTTGTAAACAATAGGAACAAAAGTTCGAACAAAGAGCTACATAATTAAAAACACAAAAAGGATTAGAAACTGCATTCATTAACTAAGAGTAAGAACAATTTTTGCATAAAAGGCCTCCATTCATAGTCCTACAAAACCACAGTACAGTATAAATATAGAGAATTCAAAACTCTCTAGTCACATATCTCACACCAAAAAATTAGAATGAAAGATTTATAGAACTATTTTCACTAAGATTGTTTATAGAGATAGCATAACGTCAAAGCACCATTATTTGGACAACATGAAAGCAATATTAATGTCGCGAACTTAATGTCAATTAAATAAATGTTTAATTGGATGAAGGCAAATGGATGGAGGAAACAAAAGAATTGATATACAACTTTTACATCACTGATCATGTTTACTTGACTCACTGTACAACATCTCTGCATTCTTCTGGTCAAGTTTAGTCACAGCACATAGAATGCCACAAAATTTCATAATTTCCTGTTTAAAAACCTTCTAATATCTTGAAAACTCACATGCCATACATAACAACCGCAAGACGAACAGAACCTCATGTGCCATTTCTGAGGGAAATATAGAACCTTTCAGGATATCATCGCAACTAAGGATAAAACCATACAGGAAGAGTGAGACTTCAACAACAGAAGCATGCCATGAAAGCTCAAGATGACAAAATAATTCAAACATTACCATGGAATAGTGAAGGTCACACATCTCAAAGAAGTTCTGTCAGTTCACTAGCACCAGAACACTTCTCTGTAGAGCAGCTCAATAAACTTGAGAGCAGATTTACACATCAAAAGTGGCCAGATAGAGAAGGGCTTATTATCATTGCTATGGAATGTAACTTGCTAGTTGAAGATGTGGAGGTATGTCAAGTTCTGCATCTGTTTAACTCTCTCATTTTTCTCACTTAATAGTCCAAATCAGTCCCAAATCAAACCAATTTTCATAGAATCATAGCACTATTAATAAATCTTTGGATACTTCAGAAGCACGGACACTCAACTATGCCCCTTTGGAGTTTTTAACATCAACCTTTGACTGTCCCTGTCTAGCCAGCTTTTCTCATGGAATAAATTCAAGAACCCTCACAGAAAGCCATTACATTATTCAACAAGATGCAGATTTAAAAAATAATGATTAAAAAAATACACGGATGCAGCTCACTTCATCGTACCACAGTATTGTAAAACTACTGTTCAACAAGGTTTGAACAAGACATACAGCTGTACAAACTTCAAACTTTTATTGGGATTATTGCCTCAAACATAAATCCATGGAAGAGCATACCAAAAAGAGTGCTCACTAAAAATAATAAAAAATAATCTCTGAAAACAGTCACGAACAGTCACAAGGATTCCATTCAAAGAGTGGCAGAACCACACTACTCAATAACAATAAACATGCACTTATACATGTAGCTTCTAACTTTAAATAAGCTTTTGAATGAATTAATTTTTCCTTTGTCACCAATATTTTACATTTTGTGGGAGAGAAACCATTTGCTTTATGAGTCATTTTAATAACATTACAAGCCATAACTATTTGGAAATATGTCCACCTGCATGTTAAAGTTTTGGTGAAGACCTCTACTTTAATACTTTGACATTTTTAATCAGTTTACTTCGGGCATTCTGTCAATATCACTTCGTTTAGATTTATGCCACTATACTTACAGGTGATCATGTTTTTTCTCCACATAATCTTTCTAATAACTGATGATACGTAGTGATATTTGGTGACCACACTAAAAATGGGAAGCTTCACTTGTGCTCCCGAGAGCTCTTAAATGTGACCATAACATAAAACCTTTATTTTGACATGACAAAAGTTAAAGCTAAAAAGCTTGTGGGGTCATGACCAGAAAGCATCTAGTTTTTCCTTGCAGTATCATCGACTGATCCTTAGAAAGATCATACAAAATAATAGGGAATGATCACCAACCTCTTGATATTTTGAAAATAGTTATATTAATCTGATGTCATTCTAGAAAAGTTGATACACGACTGAAATTTTCCTCGCTCACAAAAAGAAAATTATTATTGTACAATGAACTGGATGATCAGGGGTAAAGACAGAAAATTCATGTTTTCAGTTTACTATTCATAGCAAAAAATCAATTTTAAAGTACAAGAAAAAAAAAAAAATAGCAGAAGGACTATTTACCCTCTAGCTTTAATTGGTTTCATGTCAGATGTTCTATTGTTTACATTTGTCAACAGCTTTGGTTTCGCACCAGAAGGGAAAAATGGTTACAACGAGTGACGGATGCTATTACTTTGGCAAAAGATGCACTAACAGAACACTCTTCAAATAACTTAAATTAAAACTTAATAATAATATTTAAGACAAAGTTGTTTAAAGATTGAATTTATAAAATAATTAATGTTGTCGCTAACATTTATATCATATTGTAAATATAAGAATTATTTTTGTAGTGATCATTGTTTTAGACTATAAACCAGCAAAGTTCTTCTTCAAAATGTTTGAGGCCCAGTAGGCCCTTTGCAGTTAGCTATTCATGTGGTACAAAACTGCCATGCTGGAGAGCAAAAGTCGCACTGGGAGAAGACAAACAAAATAAATTACCATTTAAAATTATGCATGCCTTTTGTTTTTCTTATCCCAGTGCAACTTTTACCCTCCAGCATGGCGGTTTTGTACCACGTAAATGGCTAGCTGCAAAGGGCCTATTAAGCCAAGGCTAAATGTTGACTATGTAACTAATCCCCAGTTTGCAATGATTGTCAGTCAAACATCTTGGCCCTGACTTGATGGATAATGTCATGGGTCAAAATAAAATAAGGTTAAAAGTTTTAAACTGCCAGAGGGTGTTACTCAATTTCCTTTGTCTCCTAGCAATACATGTAGCCCTACACTCGTGAATTAGATGTAAGGCTTAAGGAGACAAAAAATTGGTAACTGACCTACAATAGGTGAAAAATTTTTGAGCCATGTACTGTCCTCAAAATAACCAATCCTCACTCCTCTCCCCTCCCCTCTCCCCTTTATTCAAGGTTCAAAAACTCATTAATAATTCATGAAAAAAACCCAAAATAAATTAATGTTTAATGAGAGTCTTTATATCTGATAAAGACATGGCTAAACTTTACGTCCAAATTTTCAGACCAAAATAACCCCAAATCTTAATGTTAGTGCAAGAATGAGTTGAACTACAGTAGATGCCCTGGTATATACAGTGTATCAGAGATTTTGGAGCAGTTAAAAAAACTTCCAGTCGTATATTATTAGGTGTAAAAACTGATAATACACACCTGCTCATTTCTTAAACAGTACTTGGGGCGCTTGTTATTTCCTACAGCGGCACAACATTACATGGAGGGGATGGGGGAGAGAAAGCTTTATTTCTCCCTTTTGAAGATGGTAAAACATCAGAAAGGCCCTTTAAGGCACTACCTCAACTACTGTAATTTTGTTGTGCTTGTTTAACAGATACTGCTAACTTTATGTGAAAAAAAAAAAACTACATGTATATCATCATATTGTTACCTGTTCCTCATCACAGTTAAAAAGGCCATCCAAAAGAAGATAGCAGAAAAACAGAGGCCATTCACACTCAATGTTCTCAAATATCTCTAGTTCAGCTGGTTCATAATGAAGTCTGTAAGGGTCCTGTAATACAAACCACATAATAAAATAAATACCAGTGTAGTTTTTATGTTTTTGCTTGGATAATAGTCGTGACGATCATGTCCATAGAATATGTGTCTCACATTTTTTATGATAGAATGCTCTTGCAGGGCTTTCAATAAGAGCCAGTGGCTGGCAAAATTCTCCGGCTATATTTCACTGCTACTTTTCTTTGGAAATTACCCCAGTTTAAATGCAGTATTCATGTGCTGTCACTGAGTAAAAAAGCCAAAATTTAATGATGTCTGTGTTCTGTTCAAACACTCTAATTTTTGCTCCAGAATGCTGGAAATGCATTCTAAGAGACCCAGATTTCCAAATTTTTCCAGAAACTTGTGCCTTTGGCGCTCGCAAGTGCCTTTGCTACAAGTTTTTTCCCTCTCCACCTACTCCAAAGCTTTTACCTCCTATTTAAAATCTTATTGAAAACCCTGGACTTTGTGTACCTGTACATTTGTATGACTGTTATATTAGTTTATGCCGCAACATGATTTTATCCCAGGTTCATATTTTACTTTCTTCATTTTAGTCTATTTATCTTACAAATAATATACACAACCATATACCAAAACAAAGAAAAACAAAATTTGAACCAAAGATGCAGATGTTGAGTGAACTACACAAAAACCAGCATTTGTCTCAACTTAATTGTTCTAACATTGTGACAGCCTTTTACATGTACTTTAAACAAGATGTACATTATGAGTACATGTATATTATAGTTGTGAATGATCACATGTTTTATAAATTTCAATAGATAAGCAATAAAATCAATCCCCTCTACCCATGGATTTGAAATCCAGCTGAAATTTTTTCCAGTTTTTTTTTATCAATACAAATTAAATATTCACACTGGCAGGAGCTGGTACTACATCATAACTCATTGAGACACCGTGCCACTGAGGACAGCCCTTTAGTAATAGTGGCCACAACAAGGACTTAAAACTACACCTGGGCTGAGTTGTTCAAAGCTGGGTTAAGATAACCCAGGGTTAGTGCAAGATTTGAATTAAGATTTGAAAGCCTAAAAAGCAATTCAGTTTTAATTCTTTTTGTCCACAAGTTGATGATTGGAAGCTCTAAAAATAAGAGAGAGTATTATTCGAGAAAATGCTTTTGAACACAAGAAAAAGAAACAAGGGTTAAATTTAACTCCCGGTTAAGCGCTAACCAGCCTTCGAACAACTGGGCCCAGTAGGATATAGGACTAGGACATTTTTGCATACATGTAGATCAGAGCCCTTCAAATATTTTAGTGCAATGCACATTAATTCGTGAAGGCAAGAAAAGAAATACAGACTGTAGTTATAATCATTGACAGCCACTGTTCAATAATAAAAAAATTCTTAAAAATTACTAACCTCAAGAGGAGTCTTGTAACCATCCCGAATAAAACGAACCAGACCATATCGACCCTTTCAAGAAATGGGAAAAGTATGCAGAATTGTTTCATTATTCATACACTGGTACAAATCACTGCATGAAATCTGTATTTATTGAGCAAACAGCAAAGGTACAGTGCATGTGTACCTGAAGTTTAGCAATGATTTTTTCCCTGGCTTCACTGACAAGATCTTCATCTTCAACAGCAAATGCAGGAAAGCTAATCACACTTAACACTGAGGCTGCAATTTCCTACAGGACAAAAATAAAATAATTTATTTTTATGCTGATCTGACATTGTCACAAGTAAAGTGTTCATTTATGAATACAATGTGCAAATAATTATCAAATGATGACTTTGATTTGTGTTAATTTGATTTATGCATGTACAAGTGGTTTGAAACAAGTTTTCAGCACTTTTTAAACCTTGTGAAACTATAATGACCTTTGAAGGGCATTTTCAAACTGTGAGACCTGTGTTAAGTGGACCCTGTTTTTAAAATATACACGAGACTAAAATGGTGATTCCTATATAATATTTTCCATAAATGAACCTGTTGTATCAGACACTTACTATTTTACAATTAGTGGTCAATCATACATGTACCTTGGAATTAGACTCCCTTGGAACCATTGATTGCAAAATAGCCTGGAAACAAAACCACAAAATTACAACAATAATATTATAAATAAATAAATAAATAAATTAACTAATTAATTAATAATAAAAATAATAATAATTATGATAATTGTTTTAAACTGCCAGAGGGTGTTACTCAATTTCCTTTGTCTCCTAGCAATACATGTAGCCCTACACTCGTGAATTAGATGTAAGGCTTAAGGAGACAAAAAATTGGTAACTGACCTACAATAGGTGAAAAATTTTTGAGCCATGTACTGTCCTCAAAATAACCAATCCTCACTCCTCTCCCCTCCCCTCTCCCCTTTATTCAAGGTTCAAAAACTCATTAATAATTCATGAAAAAAACCCAAAATAAATTAATGTTTAATGAGAGTCTTTATATCTGATAAAGACATGGCTAAACTTTACGTCCAAATTTTCAGACCAAAATAACCCCAAATCTTAATGTTAGTGCAAGAATGAGTTGAACTACAGTAGATGCCCTGGTATATACAGTGTATCAGAGATTTTGGAGCAGTTAAAAAAACTTCCAGTCGTATATTATTAGGTGTAAAAACTGATAATACACACCTGCTCATTTCTTAAACAGTACTTGGGGCGCTTGTTATTTCCTACAGCGGCACAACATTACATGGAGGGGATGGGGGAGAGAAAGCTTTATTTCTCCCTTTTGAAGATGGTAAAACATCAGAAAGGCCCTTTAAGGCACTACCTCAACTACTGTAATTTTGTTGTGCTTGTTTAACAGATACTGCTAACTTTATGTGAAAAAAAAAAAACTACATGTATATCATCATATTGTTACCTGTTCCTCATCACAGTTAAAAAGGCCATCCAAAAGAAGATAGCAGAAAAACAGAGGCCATTCACACTCAATGTTCTCAAATATCTCTAGTTCAGCTGGTTCATAATGAAGTCTGTAAGGGTCCTGTAATACAAACCACATAATAAAATAAATACCAGTGTAGTTTTTATGTTTTTGCTTGGATAATAGTCGTGACGATCATGTCCATAGAATATGTGTCTCACATTTTTTATGATAGAATGCTCTTGCAGGGCTTTCAATAAGAGCCAGTGGCTGGCAAAATTCTCCGGCTATATTTCACTGCTACTTTTCTTTGGAAATTACCCCAGTTTAAATGCAGTATTCATGTGCTGTCACTGAGTAAAAAAGCCAAAATTTAATGATGTCTGTGTTCTGTTCAAACACTCTAATTTTTGCTCCAGAATGCTGGAAATGCATTCTAAGAGACCCAGATTTCCAAATTTTTCCAGAAACTTGTGCCTTTGGCGCTCGCAAGTGCCTTTGCTACAAGTTTTTTCCCTCTCCACCTACTCCAAAGCTTTTACCTCCTATTTAAAATCTTATTGAAAACCCTGGACTTTGTGTACCTGTACATTTGTATGACTGTTATATTAGTTTATGCCGCAACATGATTTTATCCCAGGTTCATATTTTACTTTCTTCATTTTAGTCTATTTATCTTACAAATAATATACACAACCATATACCAAAACAAAGAAAAACAAAATTTGAACCAAAGATGCAGATGTTGAGTGAACTACACAAAAACCAGCATTTGTCTCAACTTAATTGTTCTAACATTGTGACAGCCTTTTACATGTACTTTAAACAAGATGTACATTATG